ATGAAAGCGTGAGTGGTCTGTATATAAAACTTCTTTAATTTTTTGCTTAAAAATAACTCCAGTGATTAGAAAAATCTATTTGTCGCCGATTTTTGTCACTTTTTAGGTTAAATTGTTGCCGGTGTCACTTTTTAAGCCAAAGTGATAAATATGTGTCACTATTTAGGCCAATCTGATATTTTAGCCATTTATAAAGTTTAGGAAATGTGTTGCGCAAAGCATCAAAAGTTAAAGAGGGTTTTGTAAAAGTCACCTTTCGATAAATGTATCACTGCTATAGAACACGCTCCATTTTCTTTTCCCTTGCTCTTTCAAAGTCTCAAGTCTTTTGTTTCTGTGTTCAGTTGATGATGACATAAGATGACTGACGTTATGGATGTGATGTCTCTTCATCGAGATCAATTGATCTCTAGGTTCTTCTTTTTGATAGTCATCGACTACGATTAAAGGGTCTTCACCTTCTTCATCTGTACGTAAGTTACCCTTATTACTTCAGACAACTGATATGGAGTCTTCATGGACTGGTAACGCATCTCTTGGACTCCGGTTAGGTATTGGGCCTCTGGAGCTCCTAAATGAAGCTACGGTGAGTGCAACTGAGTACCTTGCTCCTAATCCTCCTTAGTTCTTTGAGCGGGTTACGCTTTGGTTCAGAAAACATATTAGTCTGTTTTGCTTTCAATTTGTTATCTTATCTTCTCCTATTGTACTTCTTCCATCGATGTATGTTCTTTTATTTTTCTCTAGTTAACAAAATCTCTATACATATTGCCTTGGTTATTAAAAAGTGCTAATCGCGGACAGAAATCTTATACTATCCCCAGTAGTTCTGTTGTTGAGGTTAGACTCCCTATACTATCGCCAATTCGTGGGTAGATACCCTAAGTGAATTATTTGAATTTCTTTTTTACCCGCGAGAAGTCCATTTATCGAAAAATGATTTTCTTCTTTGCATGTAAAAGAGTCAAAAAAAAATTCACTCAGGAATCTATCCATAATAATAAAACTATAAGACGTCTATTTGCAATTAGGCATATATGGTGTCCATCCACTTAATCCAAGCCCAAAGGGGGGAGAAAAAGAAGGAACAAGGGTCTGTTCAATTCATAAGTTTTCTGATAATTATTTTCAGATTGTACCAAAAGAGAAGCAAACAAGTCCAATTTCAGTAAAAGAAGAGGTTAGTGTTTCCTACTTAATTTGTGTCATAATGTACTATTCTATTCTAAATACGTTTGACTGGGAAGATCTCATAAAAATTTGTCATAATAAATCACAGACTGAACTACTGGAATCGAGATTAGCCCACATGAGCGAGGAGAACAAGAGGCTGAACGATGCCCTCAGCGCGATGTACATGAATTATGAAGGACTGAGGAACAAGTTATTCGATCTCATGAGTCCTTCCCCTACCGGAAAAGGATTAACATCACCAACAACAAAGAGAAAGGGCCAAAGTTTTGAGCAAAGTAGTCTTGAGTATCCGATGAAGAGATTGAGAGAGGGTAGAAATGGCAATATCTCGAAGATTTATGTGCATACCGATCAATTTGACAAGAGCATGGTGAGTTTTAATCGAATAAATTTTTCGTGAGAATTTGAAGATTATA